TTTGTGTGGAATTTTCCCAGTGGCCCTGAGCATTCGCCTGCAAACATCAGTGCCGTGTGATTGCTTTCCGGTGTCCGGCTGCACACGTGTACACCCCTTCCCTTATTCCATTTGGCCATGGGCAAGCCTGGAAGATCCCAGCGTGACAACAATACCTGATCTCGGATCTGCAGCCAGTGAATTCCAGGTGGCGGTGAGGAAGGGCAGGAGATGCCACGGCCAACGTACTGCCCAGCTCTTGGCCTGCCAAGCAAGCCGCCCGGAACCAGGAGGAGGGCGAGGAGAGCAGCTTGGGATCATGGTGGTGAAAAGGGGGCTCACAGAAGGGGGGGCCCACAGACCGTGTGCCCCCAGGGGCCCTCAGAAGCCTGGTGCTCTCGAGGTGCACAACAATCGTATAAGGTTTATCCCTCTATAAGTACCACAAAGGCTGTCACAAAGAGGAAGGGCAAGGTCTCTTCTTGCTGATACCAGAGTGCAGGGCATGGAATAATCAGCTCAAGGTGCGACAACCCAGGTTCAGGCTGGGCATCAGGAAAAGCTTCCTCACTGTCAGAGCAGTGAGGCAGTGGGACCGGCTGCTTGGAGGGGTGGGGGGCTCTCCCACACTGGAGACATTCAAGGTGAAACTGGGCAGCCACCTGAGTGGGATGGTGTGAACTGGTGTCCTGCACCAGCAGAGGTTGGACCTGAGGGCCTTCATGGCCCCTTCCAACTCTGCTATTCCAGGATTCTTTGAAGGTAGGTGAGGCAGTCGCTGGGCGGGGCTGCCCAAAATCCCCCGCTGAGCTTCCCAGACGCGTGGGGATGGAACCCCGGTCTCCCCAGTCCTAGTCCAAGGCTCAGGTGCCTGCGACAACTCCCTGCCTCTCCTACGGCAATCCACTGCTCACTCCTCCTGCCCCCTTTGGGGGGGGGGGCTGGGAGTAGGTTTAGCAGGAAAGCTCAAAGGGAAGATGCGCTCAAGACAGGCCACCGGGCTCCTTCAGTACTGGGCCCAGAGCTCACAACACAGACATGCTGTTCTCCTTTCAGCACAGCCGCCAGCCAACGACCCCAGCGCTGAGCCCAGCCTCAAGGGGCTGGAGCCTTAGACCCCTCTCCGAATCACAAAAGGCCACGCCTGCCACCCAGACCACTTGGTGCAGCCTTTCCAGGCCTGGGGAATGGGGATGATGGGGATTGTGGTCCATCACATCTGGAGGACGCCAGTCGGAAATGACCGCCTTAGTAGCTTCTGCCTGGGAACCCAGCCAACCCCTGAAGCCTGGCGGACAAAGTTCCTGCCACCTGGTGGTGAGACTGTGCCTAGGGCGCTTCTTCCCTCTCCATCAAATCATGCCATGCATGCCAATTCTTTCAATTTGAAATACTTCGTGTTAGATTACATTCATTTCTATTTCAGTCATATTTCCATTTGTGGCTTGCTCTGCCTTTCACAAGAATGCAGGAATTGTGCACTATGTAGAAAGAAAGAAAGAAAGAAAGAAAGAAAGAAAGAAAGAAAGAAAGAACTGAAAATGTTAGGAAAATCTCTTCAAATAGATTACATTAGAAATGACAGAAAATAGTAAGTGAAAATAAAGCACTTTCTTCAGCTTATCTGTCCCTTTAATTAATTCCTGCTCCTAAACTGAGCCCAAGGAAACTTCTTGGAATGTTTCCAAGAAGATACTCCAGCTGAGAGTTTGGCCAAAACTGAAATACTGAAACCTTGCAGGCCAGCTTGAGAAATTATCTGCCTAAAAGCCCTTGAACTTTTTGGCTGGCCCTCCCTAACCTGGTCCTTCCAGCAGTTTCAAAGCTGAGCTGTCCTTGGCCCCAGCAACATGGCTAAAAATCGGAACTAGTCGGAAGTTGTGGGCCAAAACATGTGGAGAGCAACCAAATTGGAGCAGGTGGGCTCAGACCATCCAGAACTCCCAACTCTTTATCTCCACCTCCTCCTTCACACGACCAGCTTTGCCACAGGCTCGTACCGGAATGGCTAACCAACCGTTGTGTCCCAACAGGGGCTCTCACAGATGTCTTGCATGAGAAATGAAAATGAGCAACATTTCAGTCCAACACATCTGGAAGACTTCAGGGTGGAAAGAGGGGCATTGCACTGCCAGCCAGAAACTTGCCAGATTTTCAAAGAGTCTTTCCCAGCCCTGCCTGGAGACAGTAGCACTGGAAACTGGGACCAACGACTACTTCCCCCAACAGTCCTTGCCCTCCTAGAGATGCACCGATTGCAAAGCTTCACCTGTTGTGTTTCGACCTGCCCTGCAGCTACAGCCTTTTGGCACAAGCCTCCATACCAAGCAGCATCCCGCCCTCTGCCTTTTGGCTTTGGTTTATGATAGAGACAGGAAGCCAGGTCATTTGTGAGGCTGCCATCCAAGTTGCCCAAAGCACTTAATTCCAAGACAAATATAAAGCATGGTTGTTCAGGGTGGTAAATCGAAGCCTGCTGCTCTCTCAACCAAAGCAAAGATCTTGCCTGGAGGACACCGCTTGCTTCCTCTGTCAATAAATTTCCAGCTGCTGCGCTTCCCTTGCTTTATGCACTGCCCGGGTCCTCCAGTGTCACCCACCCGGCTCTTTCGGAAGCCCAGACACGGCTGTCTAGCCAGCCTGGCACACAAGGAGCCGAGACGGCCTTGTCGTGCTGGCCTCTGGACCAGCAGCACAGGGGCGACCACTGCAGAAGTTCGAGATGGATTGCGGCAGCTCCCAGATGCTTTTCCAGTGGTGCAGGGGGTGGAGTGGGGGGCTCCAGGGGGCCATCCAGGGAGCAGCAGGGGGAGGGGATGTGGCCAGCGGGCCCTGCACTGGCCTGCCTCGTCTGCCGCAGCGTCCTTGCTTCTTATTTCTGAATTTGAAAGCGACTGGGGCGCGCGCCCTGTGGTCACAGATGCCCATGGTGCGGTTCTCGCTTGAGATGTGTAATCCTCGCCTACTGCACAAGGGGGTTTGTTTCCAAATCGACAGATTTAGCATCAGGACAGCTGAAGCCAACTCCGTCTCCTTCCTCCAGTTGTGCTACTGCTTTGATGTTGGGGGATCTAAAATGCACGACTGCAGATGCTCAAGCGATTTCTTTTTGGCAGAGGTTGTCCTCCGGTTTCTTTTGGGGGTTGGTTCCAATGTATGGGGGATGTAGAAGCGGTTGCGAGGCATGGGATGCAGGAAGACAGAAGAGGACTGCTTGCGGAGCGCTCCTCGATGGGGAATGGCCCCCGTGGTCACCTCAGGGGTCCCGGCCTTAAGACCCTTAAGGGCAAGATCCTATGTGTGTCTGGATAGGGGGGAAGGCGCAACGATGCCCAGCCAGGGCATGCTGGGAGTTACAAAACTTTTTCCTATCCAGGGGCACTTAGGACCAGGGTGGCCCATTTCCCCCCCCCCAAAGTCACATTTCCAACCCCAGCGGGAAGCCGGCCATGGCTCATTCGACACCAGGTGGCAGGTTGGGGGGGAGGCATCAGATCTCCAATTGGGACGCGTGTCTGAGCTCAGCAAGAGGAGTCCCCGGAATCCATAGGATCGCCCCCGCAAGCGCCCTTCCGCAAGCGGCTGTTCTTTCACCCTGTTCCTCCAGCTGGCCTTACAGGGCGAGGGCCAGCCTACCTCACAGGGTCATTGTACAAGGCTCACTGAGGGAATGGAACAGGCACTTTTCAAAAGTTTGGGGTGCGCTGGAAGGGGCTGACTTGAAGCACTGCAGGGTTAGGAAAGGTAGAAACAGAGTGAGTCAGAAGGGGCATCCCGGACCATCTAGTCTGACCCCTGACTCTGCTCATGACATGCCCACCGTTAGGAAGCAGAGCTCTTAATGCATGTTTGGGCTGCAGGTGACTCCTGGGTCGCAAAAGGTTGAGAGCCCTGTGCAAGCATTTGCTCAGAGCAGGGGCAGCTGCAGGGAACCCCCAAGGCCTGCAGTCAGCCCTGCCTGAGGGGCCCTTCCCAAGCGACCCAGCAGCCAAAAGCCTAGGAGTGTATTTCACAATCGAGGTGCCACCACAGAGAAGGCCCTTCTCCGAGTAGCCACCCTCCTAATCTCCTTCAAGGATGCCTCTCGGAGAAGGGCCTCTGCCCCAGATCTCAAGCGGCAGGCAGGCACGTAGGGAAGGAGACACTCCTTCAGGCAACCAGGCCCTAAGCCATTTAGGGCTTTTTAGGTCATCACCAGCACCTTAAATTGGGGCCGGACTTCAACTGGTAGCCAGTGCAGGTGGAAAAGGACCGGTGTTATGTGTTCATACCTGCCAGTCCCTATTAACCACCTGGCAGGTGCATTTTATCTTCTATGGTGCTTCAGGAGGGGTAGATCCTGAAAAGCAGCCCAGAAATATTTTGAGCCTGTGTGGCGGAAGGCCCAGTGCTCCGCGATATGAATGCCTTGTGCCTGCCCAGGAAGGATGCCCGGAAACTCCAGACTAGGCTGGGGAAATCCTCTGTCTGAGACCTGGAGAGCGATCCGGAGCCCAGTGGACCAAAGACGGCCTTAGTATTCATGGAGATGCCAGAGTCCCGGCTCTGGGTCGCCCCCAGACCTAGGAGGACACGATCCGTGTGCCCATCCTTGCAATATGGCCTGGCGTGTTCCTCGCCTTGGGGATCCGCGCACGGTTCTCCACCCAGCCCAGCATCCTCTGCCCAGCATCCCATTATTCCATCAGGCTCTCATTATTGTACGGAACATGTGTCCATGTACGAGCATCTTTTATTGCCTCTGGCCTGGTAGCCTCCCCAGGATGGCAGCATGGCTGGCTGAGAGATAACGGCTTTCCCAAGGGCATCTGGTGGCGCCAGCAGAGAGCTCAGAACCAACCCTGGAACGCCCATGCCCAGTCGCACCCTCGCCCGCCCCTTTAGATGACGCCACGGGGCTCCGCCGGCAGGGTCTCTGTGTGTCGCAGCAGCCGGCTGGCCGGCTTGGCAGCTGCTTACCGGGAGCCTGGCCGGGGAAGCGTTCGTCACCGGTGCCTCGCTCTGCTTTCTTCCCTCTCCAGAAGGCATGGCAGACGTGGTCCACTCGGCCCGGGACTGCCTGCAAGCGGGAGAGTCCTGCGCCAACGACCCCAGCTGCAGCGCCAAATTCCGGACCCTCCGGCAGTGCATCGCGGGCAACGGCGCCAACAAGCTGGGCCCGGACGCCAAGAGCCAGTGCCGGAACACGGTGACGGCCCTGCTGTCCAGCCAGCTGTACGGGTGCAAGTGCCGGCGCGGGGTGAAGAAAGAGAAGCGCTGCCTCAGCGTCTACTGGAGCATCCACCACACCCTGATGGAAGGTCAGTCGCCGGCGCCACGGGGCGGGGGCCGCGGGGGGCAGGGCGGGGGGGCAGCCCCCGGCAAGCTGGTCGCGCCGACCCCGGGGGAGAAGCAGGTCTGAAGGGCTCTCCTCGTGCTGCGCCCGACAGCCGGGAGCTTCTGTGCCACGTGGCCATGCAGCTCCACGCACAGGGCGGCACGGGGAACCGGGGCGTTTTCCGTTGGCGCGCCACGAAAAATAAACCCATGGCAAAATACGTTTTATGATGAACTGTATGGCACAGGTCATGCGATTAATGATGGTAATCAAGACTCATTCGGTATTCATTTTCTGTCTTGATGATAACATCATGCAAGCGTTGTCCATTTCTCCGTACATATTCCGACAGCCTGTTGCAGAAATTCTGTACTGCTCGGCGGAGCAACATCAAGAGGGATGGCCTACGATTTCCTCCTTGGTCCTCCTTTTTAGTTCAGCAACGGTTTCAGGACGAGGGTGCTACACTCGGCTGTTAAACAATTGCCGATTCAATTGCTAACTCCTAGTTCCAAAATTCTGTTTGTTAACATATCCTTAAGGTGAAAATGGGCTTCCACGGGAGGTCGTTGAGGCCCCACCGGTGAGGGTGTTCAAAGATAGGCTGGACGTCCACATGCTGGGCATGTTGTGAGCGGAGCCGGCTGGAGCCAGGGGTCAGACTAGATGGCCTGGGAGGCCACTTCTGACTCGCGCTGTTTCTATGTTTCATACGGAATCCACAAGTTGTGAATGAAATTGGTGTCCCTGTTTACTTTAGCCAGCAGTTGCTCACAAAACACTCGGTCGCTGGGTTTGAGTCCCTGCATTATGTGGGGATGGAACTTTGATCGCGCAGTGTTCTTCGCATGCCTTGGCGCCCCACATGTAGTAACGATGCGTGTCGTCGAACAGGGTGGCAAGGGCTCCTCGTGATAGCAGATCGAATACTCTCTGGTGTGCGGGCTGGTCAAACACCCCCTGGGGACTTCTTTTTTAAGGCTGAGCCCCTTTCTCTGAAATTTCGCACCCGTGTCATCCTCACATGAGCAGAAGGGGCCCGATCATGATGTCCCACCTGGGAATGGCGCCGAAATTCCCTTTCCTGGCAGGGGGTTCCAGACGCGGTCGCTCTGCTTCCAAGCAATGGCTGATGCTCCAGGGTCGTCATCTCCCACTTCCAAAGTGTCCTGCTCCCCTGCGCCACCATGAACGATGAGCGGGCATTTCTGTCTTGGGAATCCTGACGACACGGGTGGCGCAGCAGATGGCCTCTTTGGTTGATGGAGGGGGCCTTGGTGGTGGTGGGGGGGGGTCCATTGGCCACACCAGCAGCGGCTCCTGTCCTGATGGCTCCATATGTATGTATGTATGTATGTATGTTTGTATTAAAAGTTTTTATAGGCCGTCCCCAGAAGTGTCTCGGGATGGCTTACAAGAAGGAAAAAACCCGAAATATAAAACAAAACTGCACTGCGTTCCACCACAATAATAAAAGCCAGAATGAAACCAATTAAACATTAAAATGATGGGGAAATTAGAAAGTTTTCACCTGGCACTGAAAAAAGTAGAGCGACGGTGCCAGGCGAACCTCCCTAGGAAGCGAATTCCATAGTCGGGATGCCACTGCTGAAAAGGCCCTTCTTTGAGTACCTGCCCTCCTGATTTCCTTCAAGGAGGGCTCCTGGAGGAGGGCCTCTGCCTCCTCTCTCAAGGGCTGGGCCGGCACATAGGGGAGAAGGCGCTCCTTCAGGTATCCAGGACTCAAGCCGTCTAGGGCCCTATAGGTCATCACCAGCACCTTAAATTGGGCCCGGACTTCAATTGCAAGCCAGTGCAAATGGTATAGGACTGGCATTTTGTTATAACATAATATGATTATATAATATAAATATAAATTATATAATACATGATTATATATACTTACGTTATAGGTTGTTACAGGACCTCCAGCGTTGGAGACAGCATGTGCAGGCGCAGCTGGGACGTGGTGGAGGGGTGGGGGCCGACTGCATGGCAGACGGCTGGACGGGGTGGTCCCGTGGCCTGACCCAGCGTGGCTGCTTTTATCCTCCCGCGTTCTAGCGTGCGCTTCCTTCCCATGGCATCGGATGTTTTCTGTCAGGGTTTTTCTCTCTGCTGAGAATTTTATTTTCTTTTGTGGCTGTGTTTTTACTGTATCTTGAGGCATTTGTTTGGCAGATGTTTTGATCAACTTCCTTCTGAAACATGCTTCTGTTGCCATGATTCTTCACCACCCTGGCACCTTTTGCTCAGTGCAAAGGCAGGGTACAAAATAAATAAACACACCCACACAAAAGCTGACAGCAGCCAAACAGAGAGACAAGCTTTTGACAGGCAGCAATCTCAGAAAGATGAGCAACCCGTGAAAACTGTCAATGGCTGAAACATGTATTCCAAAAGGGTGCTGAAGGCCTTAGCTCGAGAAACCAGCCAGAGGTGCGGGACTGCAGCTCCCATCATCCACCCCAATTATCACTGGCTGGCGTGGGGGGTGGGAGCTGCGGACCGGTCGTCCGTGGCCAGCTGGTGGCAAGAGGGACTGGGCAGGTGCTTGGGGATGCTGTGCTGAATCCGGACCGTTCCGGAGTTTCTGCGGCAGCTGGCACCGACTCAGCAGCGCGATCGGCAGGGAGCTCCTTGGAGATGCAAAAGCCAGCAGGAAGACAGCAAGCGCATGCTAGAGGGGAGCCCTGTCCCCTTTCCGCTGATGGCAGGCCCCTCCCCAAAGGCCCCCGACCTCCCCGTGGGGATGAGGGGCTCTCCTGCTTGCGAGGAAACACACACGCCACGAAATGTCGCACGAGGTTCCTGCAGCTCATTCTTGGCTGGAAGGCCAAGGGAAAAACAACGGCCGGCCCAGGTTGCTGGCGAGGGGGGTGGGAAGAGGGGTCTGACGGGGAAGCATTGGTCCCCGCTTCCCAACAAGCTGCCGCTCAAGGACCCACCGAAAGTGAGAGCCAGTCCTCCTGGATCTCTTAACTGTAAGTTGCCATGGGGTTGCGGGGGGGCCAGTGGTCCTTCAGTTCATGTATAAAGACAGAGCAACCTCGGGTGGCTTGGCTGGGAAGGGTGGCAGCGGTGGAGCGAGAAGTGCCTCTGGAAAACACCCGGCTGACAGCGCTGTTCCAGAGTCCTTCCTGTCTCGGCAGGAGCTGTTCCTTCATGGCTCTGGCCGTCCCAGCTCACCCCAGATGTTTTTGGGCCCATCGCTGTGCTTAGGACCATGGGGGAAGGGTGGCGTAGACCCTGTCTCAACGGGCCACCAACACTCCATTGCCAACTCAATGGACGGAGGCAGTGTGGTGTAGTGGTTAAGAGCATGGGACTGGGACTCAGACGACCCGGGTTCTGGTCCCCCCTCAGCCATGGAGCCACCTGGGTGACTCTGGGCCAGGCACAGACTCTCAGCCCAGCCTACCTCACAGGGTTGTTGTTGTGGGGATAATACTGAGAGCAGGAGAGGCAGAATGAGAGCCAGTGTGGTGGAGTGGTTAAGAGCACGGGACTGGGACTCAGACGATCCGGGTTCTGGTCCCCGCTCAGCCATGGAGCCACCTGGGCGGCTTTGGGCCAGTCGCAGACTCTCAGCCCAACCTACCTCGCAGGGTTGTCGTTGTGGGGATAAGATGGAGGAGGAAGATGATGTAAGCTGCCTTGAGCCCTTGGTAGGAAAAAGGCAGGCTGTAAATCGAAAAATAAAAAATAAACAAACTCTCCCATTCCAGTTTCAAGGGTCACCTTAAAGGGGGTTTCTAGAAGCAGGTAGAAATCAGGCCTTCTTCTAGTGGAGCTTCAGCCACAGAACGTCTTCCCATTCTCCTAGCCGTGTGTTCCTTCCACCTTTGGAGGATGACTCCTTTTGCTACCGGCTCGATCCCTTTTAAGTGGCGTTGAGGGCTCCGGTGATTTTCAGCCATCCTGTTCCTGAGCAAAATTTGAATTTGCCGTTTTGTGATGCTGCCTTAAAGCATCACCGTCTCTGTGTTTAAAGAAACACAGGCATTGAAGGCAGGATAAAAAGACCTCGAGTAGATCTAAAAGTGTAAAGGCTTAGCCTTGTACCCTCTCCAGCGTCATAAATGCACCTGGAAGGGGTGCAGGGGGCGAGAGAGGGCAAGGACTGGCACCGGTTCCGAGGGGCAGCACATCCCCCCTCCCCGCCCTTCCCCACTGCTCTATCGAAGCCCAAAGGGGCCATCTGGATGAAAATCGGGGCACGAGAGAAGCCGCCACTGGGGCCGAGATGCATCGGGGCGGGGGAGACGGTATCCCCTCTCAGGCACGGCCCCCTACTTTCCATCCAGTGAATGCAAGTGTCAGCCCTTCCCTGTCTGAAGGCACTGGCTGCCACACCAGAGGGAGGCTCTGGCCTGGGGAGGGTCTGCACCTCGCCCATGGGGGCTTGGGCTCCCTCCACGGGCCACGGCCCCCTTCCCAGGCCCCCAGTGCCGCACGGCACGTGCGGAAGTGCAGAGCCGCCCCAAGCAGCCCCTGTGGCGGCACCAACGGTGTTGCTCCGTGTCCGCAGCCCCCCACCTCGGAGCTCCGCTGCACAGGCCTTGTGTCAGACTTATGGGTCTTGACTATCCACTTCAGAGCAAGCCACCCAAATTTCTTCTACCAGAAGGAACAATATATTGCTGCTGGAAAAAGTCATTTCCCCGCAATTACTGCGAAAATTGCACTCCGCTCAAAGGAAGCAGAGATGGCTGAGGGGGGCAGGGAGCCTGTGACACCCGCGTCCCCCGTGATAAAGCTGGGCTCGGCGGCGTCCCTGGCCAGCGTCGCCTCCCCTGCACCCTGGCCCCGCGTCTGCTGCCCCGGGCGGGAGCTTCTCCGTCGCTCCGTCCTCTCCATGCCTGGAGTGTCAGATAACACATTGAGCAAGTCCATGCTGCAATTAAGCACGTGCCGCGGCTGCTCCTGACAGTTCTCGGGTGTTTATTTCCCTTGTCTCCATCCTGCCTCTCCGCGAGGTTT